CGCCTCCAGCGGTCAATTACCACTAGGCTGCCTCCTAAATAGTTCCACGTCACTAAACACTTCCTCTTCCCCTCCCCTGTGCCCACCACCCACTCCCTCATGGGTGGCAGTAACTCCTTATTGCCTCTCAGCCCCCGGCACACTGCTGGTGCCTCTCAGCCCCCGGCACACTGCTGGTGCCTCTCAGCCCCTGGCACACTGCTGGTGCCTCTCAGCCCCCGGCACACTGCTGGTGCCTCTCAGCCCCTGGCACACTGCTGGTGCCTCTCAGCCCCCGGCACACTGCTGGTGCCTCTCAGCCCCTGGCACACTGCTGGTGCCTCTCAGCCCCCGGCACACTGCTGGTGCCTCTCAGCCCCTGGCACACTGCTGGTGCCTCTCAGCCCCCGGCACACTGCTGGTGCCTCTCAGCCCCTGGCACACTGCTGGTGTCTCTCAGCCCCCGGCACACTGCTGGTGCCTCTCAGCCCCCGGCACACTGCTGGTGCCTCTCAGCCCCTGGCACACTGCTGGTGCCTCTCAGCCCCCGGCACACTGCTGGTGCCTCTCAGCCCCCGGCACACTGCTGGTGCCTCTCAGCCCCTGGCACACTGCTGGTGCCTCTCAGCCCCCGGCACACTGCTGGTGCCTCTCAGCCCCCGGCACACTGCTGGTGCCTCTCAGCCCCCGGCACACTGCTGGTGCCTCTCAGCCCCCGGCACACTGCTGGTGCCTCTCAGCCCCCGGCACACTGCTGGTGCCTCTCAGCCCCTGGCACACTGCTGGTGCCTCTCAGCCCCCGGCACACTGCTGGTGCCTCTCAGCCCTCGGCACACTGCTGGTGCCTCTCAGCCCCCGGCACACTGCTGGTGCCTCTCAGCCCCCGGCACACTGCTGGTGCCTCTCAGCCCCCGGCACACTGCTGGTGCCTCTCAGCCCCCGGCACACTGCTGGTGCCTCTCAGCCCCCGGCACACTGCTGGTGCCTCTCAGCCCCCGGCACACTGCTGGTGCCTCTCAGCCCCCGGCACACTGCTGGTGCCTCTCAGCCCCTGGTTCACTGCTCAGTAAACTTACTATTAACCAGGTGTATTGTAGTGATTTACCTGCAGAACACCTCTCCACTCCTACTGCCTCACACCCGTTACACAGCGTGCAGGGTAATAGCCTCGTTGGGTCCACGTCCCGCTCTCACAGCCCCATGTGGTCGGAAATGGTCATTTCCATTCTCAGTGACAATGGCTAGGTGCTAAAACTGTTTGATAGGGAATCTAAGATGGCCCATCAGACTGACCATTGTGGTAATTACTCTCAAGACGTTGGACACCCATTGATTGCATCTGCTGTTGCAGCTTACCTGTGCATGCTCATCTTATGGCATATCACTGTGTCACAGAGACATATAAGAGATCTCATCACTGTAACCGAACCTGTTTATCCTCATAACGCTCCTACACTTTTGTCTTTGTCCAGCAAAGATTATTACTTATCTCTGAAAATGACAACAAATATAACAAGAAAATCTGCGTCAAAAGACTAGTAGATTTGTATATCTATGTGGAACACCCACAGTGAGATAGGACAGTGTGACGACGAGAAAACGCATCTACTTATACAGTTCATCTGGTCTATATATTCATGTATTTAACATATATACTGGTGTTAAATTATTAAGAAATCATTCAAGTATATCAGTTTCTTGATATTTACATATAAAAATGCTTAATATATAAAAATATATAGTATATGTGCGTGGGTGGAAGACATGAGGGGGGGGGGGGGAGCAGAAAGGTAAGGGGGGTGGTGGAGCAGAAAGGTAAGAGGGGGGGGGGCAGAAAGGTAAGGTGGGGGGGGGTGGGGGGGGGGGGGGGTGGCCGGAGGGGAAACAAAGTTGTAACAGAGATCAAGCCACAGCGGCTACTGTTTCCGCTTTTCCTTTCTGCCCAAGGCTTTTATCTCTCTCTTTCTCCCTCTCTCCCTCTCTCACTCTGCCCCTTCCCACAACTCTTTACTTCCCTCTACCCTCAGGGGCCCCGAGTCCACGTAGTACGAACTTTGTCAAGCTATAATAAGACTTTCAGTCCGTTTCCCACAGGTAATGGGCCGTCGCTCTAGATGCATTTCGTCAAGTAATGCCTGTCCGGTCGCTCGGCACGTCTTGGTAACGACGTGTTATTCTCATTACCACCTTGTTTCAAATATAAATGATCCATTCATGTTGTATAACGACCGATAAAAGGGCAAAGATTCCCCTTAACTTAGAAAGCTTCGTGCATTGCTTTCTGAGTGTTAAAGAGCATTCAGAGAGGCCATGTGTACATGAGGAGTGCTTACAACTGGTGCGCGCACACACACACACACACACACACACACACACACACACACACACACACACACACACACACACACACACACACACACACACACACACACACACACTGGGTTAGAGCCCAGTAGGCTCAGGAAGCTGTACACCAGTTGATTGACGGTTGAGAGGCGAGACCAAAGAGCCAAAGCTCAACCCCTGCAAGCACAAATAGGTGACTACAAATAGGTGAGTATACACACATACACACACTACGGTGCCGATGGCTAAATGGATAGGAGTAAGTAGTCCTGTGGACCGGGGTTCGATTCCCGGCGCCGGCGAGAAACAAAATGGGCAGTTTCTTTCACCGTGATGTCCCTGTTACCTAGCAGTAAATAGGTACCTGGGAGTTAGACAGCTGCTACGGGCTGCTTCTGGGGACAATAGACAACACGCACTGACGGCGCAGGGGACAAACAATCCACAAAGGGCCTCAAAATCTTGTATAATAATATTAACAAGGCAATCAAGACATAGTTAATGAAAGAAAGTATTAAGACGAATGACCGATATTACTGCTGAGGTGAAAATAAACAATCAGTAAATGTAAGGTGATGAATGAGCCCCGCAGACAGCAGCAGCAAGACGGTACACAGTGAACACAAACTTCACCTCTCGTCCTGAATCAACTCAAGAAAGAACACAAGATTTAACTTATAGGATAACGTTAGTAGTGTATTCGAAACAGGTGAATATCAGGACATTCTTCAGTACACAAGAACAAAGGCAACTGCAGAAGGCCTATTGGCCCATACGAGTAGCCTCAGTAAGTAGGCATAGGAACACTGGACGGTAACTAACCTATCTTAAGAGTGCACAGCTGCGACCCCCAACCTCAAAAAGTACACAGATAAAGTAAAGTTAAAAGGAGAACTTGAAAAGGTACAGAAGTTTGCAAAGCAGTTCGTCCCAGAACAACCTGGGATGGATTACAAAGAATAAGAAGCTGGAGATAGACACAAGAGAAGAGTGGAGAGAGAGAGAGGGGTAGGAGACATGATAGCGATATCATGGTTACTCTTAGTCGGGGGCAGGAAGCCTGTTCGGTTTGCCGAGGTCCCTAGGTCCCTGTTACTGATCATCCCAGGGATACAACAACCAACAGTTGCCTAACTCCCGCTTTTATATTTATGCCTAGGTGAACAGGGGCATCAGATGAAAGGAAACGATGGCCAAACACTTCTGTCTTGCCGCTGGGATTGAACTCTTAGATCTTTCGGTTGTGACTCACCTATGCTTACCATTGGAAACTGAGAAAACACTTACAATAGACCGAAAGGACATTGGTGGAAACTGGAGACACAGATGAGCAAGAGACGAAAGCAAATACTAAATTATCGTAACGAATTAGACAGGGAAGCATTAGAAAGAAAACTCCATTGAATATGACAGGAGAGATGAAGGGAAGGGAGGGAACTATCAGGAGAAAATGCCAAGTTATTACGACTATATAACACTGAGAAGGGATCAGGATTAGGATTTGGGATGGGGCGAGGGGGGGGGGGAAGGAATGGTGCCCAACCACTTAGACAGTCGGGGGATTGAGCACCGACCTGCATGACGCGAGACCGTCATTCTACCGTTCAGCCCAAGTAGTTGGGAGAGATGTAGGGAGTGAGTGTTTTGGAGGCGTGTGTACTCATATATTCCCCGAGGCTATAGTGGGGTCCCTTGTCTCCAGTGTAACACTCTGGGTGTGTTTTCCTGGACTTTCTCTTGCGCACTATGCCACCCCCCGACCTATATCTCACACATCATGTGTGTCACTTCACACTCTCCGTTTCTAATACAACATTCACATCCACTACTCTAGTCTGTGTACCTAATTATCACAGGCATTAAGTTGACATGGACGGGATAAGAGAGGACCACCATAGTTATGTTGTCGGCGCGACACAGGGTTGGCAGGGGTGGAGGTTGACGGGGGTAGGGGGTTGACAGGGGGTAGGGGGTTGGCAGGGGTGGAGGTTGACGGGGGTAGGGGGTTGACAGGGGGTAGGGGGTTGACAGGGGGTATGGGGTTGACAGGGGGTAGGGGTTGACAGAGGGGTAGGGGGTTGACAGTGGGTAGGGAGTTGACAGGGGGTAGGGGTTGAGGGTGGTTGTGGTTCCGAGGGGTGTTGGTTGAGTAAGGGTAAGGAATAGATTGCGTTGATGAGGTTGATGATGCGGGAGGGTGGTATTGAGGGGGTTGGAGGTTTGACGTGGAGGTGGGGTTGGGGAGGGGGTGGTGAGAGTATTAGCTGTGAGGGAGGGGGAAGGAGGAGGGAGGATGAACGCGAGGTACAGACCACACTCGCACGCCTTATGGTTAGATTAATATATATTTACAACGAATAAATGCTATTTACAAAACACATAATTGATCACGCACATAGTCCATGTACTGAGTGTAGAGTACCCGTAGGAGGCTACTGTTGTAGAGCACTTGTAGGAGGCTACTGTTGTAGAGCACTTGTAGGAGGCTACTGTTGTAGAGCACTTGTAGGAGGCTACTGTTGTAGAGTACCCATAGGAGGCTACTGTTGTAGAGCACTTGTAGGAGGCTACTGTTGTAGAGCACTTGTAGAAGGCTACTGTTGTAGAGCACTTGTAGGAGGCTACTGTTGTAGAGCACTTGTAGAAGGCTACTGTTGTAGAGCACTTGTAGGAGGCTACTGTTGTAGAGTACCCCGTAGGAGGCTACTGTTGTAGAGTACCCGTAGGAGGCTACTGTTGTAGAGCACTTGTAGGAGGCTACTGTTGTAGAGCACTTGTAGGAGGCTACTGTTGTAGAGTAACCCGTAGGAGGCTACTGTTTTGGAGAACTTGTAGAGCAAGGCTAAGTTTGTTGTAGAGCACTTGTAGAAGGCTACTGTTGGAGAGCACTTGTAGGAGGCTACTGTTGTAGAGTACTTGTAGAAGGCTACTGTTGTAGAGCACTTGTAGGAGGCTACTGTTGTAGAGCACTTGTAGAAGGCTACTGTTGTAGAGCACTTGTAGGAGGCTACTGTTGTAGAGTACCCGTAGGAGGCTACTGTTGTAGAGTACGCGTAGGAGGCTACTGTTGTAGAGCACTTGTAGGAGGCTACTGTTGTAGAGTACCCGTAGGAGGCTACTGTTGTAGAGTACCCGTAGGAGGCTACTGTTGTAGAGTACCCGTAGGAGGCTACTGTTGTAGAGCACTTGTAGGAGGCTATTGTTGTAGAGTACCCGTTGGAGGCTACTGTTGTAGAGTACCCGTAGGAGGCTACTGTTGTAGAGCACTTGTAGGAGGCTACTGTTGTAGAGCACCCGTAGGAGGCTACTGTTGTAGAGTACCCGTTGGAGGCTACTGTTGTAGAGTACCCGTAGGAGGCTACTGTTGTAGAGTACTTGTAGGAGGCTACTGTTGTAGAGCACCCGTAGGAGGCTACTGTTGTAGAGCACTTGTAGGAGGCTACTGTTGTAGAGCACTTGTAGGAGGCTACTGTTGTAGAGCACCCGTAGGAGGCTACTGTTGTAGAGCACTTGTAGGAGGCTACTGTTGTAGAGCACTTGTAGGAGGCTACTGTTGTAGAGCACTTGTAGGAGGCTACTGTTGTAGAGCACTTGTAGGAGGCTACTGTTGTAGAGCACCCGTAGGAGGCTACTGTTGTAGAGCACTTGTAGGAGGCTACTGTTGTAGAGTACTTGTTGGAGTTTTTTACTGGAGTTATGTGGTTGTTTGTTTCGTTAATGGTATTCAAGTGTATTTTTGTGGCTTTATGTTTTGTTAATGGATTTCAACTTCATTTAACTTTGTTAATTGCTAATGCTTCCTCATATTAATGTTTCCTCCAGATAGTGATTAACGGCCAG